CAAATATACGAATTGCTGTGGTAGAGATAAGTACACATTGTTTTGTGAATATATACATACCTCATAACAGAGTTACTCAGGAAAAGTAGGGGAATAGCAGATATTATTTTATTCATTTATATTCAATGAATATACTTCAATGTTTTCTTTTTGTCATATAATATACTAGCTCTCAGTACTTGGGAAGAAATAAATAAAACAGTTATTTTCCTCATCCTTAGGAGCTTTTAGCCTTGCAGGAAATGAGTGATCCCAATATAATACAGATGTATACCAGATATCTGTAGAGACATAGAAGAAAAACTAATTCTATTAAGAGTTAAAAATAAATGCTTTCTTCATAAAAGAATTAATGTATGAGCTGAGACTTGAAGGTTAGCAGAATTTTATTAAATGGACAAATTGTGGCATTCTATGCAGAGGGAACAGGATACACAAATGCACAGTAGCTAGAAAAGATAAACAGTGTGATAATGCCAAAGCATAAAGCAGGAGGTTTGTGAGGGGTGAAAAATGATGTATAACATAGCAAACATTTACAAAGCTCTCACAGTCTGATGCCATTCTAAATACTTTATATAGATTTACTCATTTAATCCTTACAGCAGCCCAGTAGGATTCAGGTAACTCTCCTTTGCCACTTTATAGGTGAAGAAATGAGGCAGAGAGGTTATATATTACACTCAGAGTAAAATACTAATAAATAAGCTAGCCAGCCTGTAAGCCCAGGCAGTCTGACTCCAAAGCCTAGGGACTCCCTCCTACTACAAAGAAAGATCCATTCACAAAAGGCTTTGTATGTTGTAAGGAAATTAGTTTCATTTATCAATTTCTAGGAGGTATTGAATTATTTTTAATACCTCTCTCTCTTTCTCTCTCCCTATATATATATATGTGTGTGTGTGTGTGTGTGTGTGTGTATGTGTGTATCCAGTTGTTGTTAACTCAGATGGCATTTCAAAGATAGATCAACAAATTTAGATGAAGATAGAGAAGAAAAATACTAAAAAGAGAGGCAAACATTTTATATTTCATATAAGCTCTACAGAGAACAATGAATCAAAAACAAATTTGAGTGCTATTTTGGTGGAGCTTGGGGATATGTCAGGGAGTAAAGGAACAATGAAGAGTTTCCAGTGACTTTCATATTTCTGTCTTGAATAATGAGGGTGAACTTAATACCAGGATGCATGACAGGAAATATGGAAGTTATTCTGTCTACCACTCCTGCATTCTCACGGATAAAATACCTTCAGAGTTATTTTAAGAGTTTTGTTTGTTCATTACCTATATAGCATAAGGGCATACAGGAATTCTTTCATTAAAATCTACCATTTAAGACTCTTGGATATCATTCATTCCTTCTCCCAATAGATAACAGACACAGCAAAATGCCTGCCTTGTTACCAAGTTTTGATTTTTCATTTGCTTGGAACTGTAGGTTGCCACAGAATATGACATTTAAAAATTAGTTCTCAAACAAATTCAGAAGTTTGGATTTGGAATAGCTATGCTCAACATGTATTGTTTGTATAGGATATTGAGCAAAAATGATAAATTAATATGTATTTCCAAAGTTATTCTATAATTATCCCAAATTCTTACCTGTTGTCCATAAACAAAGTCCATGAATTTGAAATTCCAGTCATGCAAGGAAAAGGTCAGCATCAATTACATGGTATAAGAAAACATCCATGCAGCAGCAGCTTTATTCTCACAGCTGTAAGTTCAAATTCTATAACAAATGTCAAAACTGCTTATAAAACTGGCAAAAGTCTAGATGCTTATGTTTTAACATTTTAATTACCTTCTTATAAAGCAAAGCTATATAATTTGTTTTGAATCTAATTTACTAATATCCCAAAGTTAATTTACAGATGATATTCTTTATATGAAAGTTCTTTATTCATACACATTCACAAAAGTTCAGAAAGTTGTGAATTTGTATGCAGTTCTTCTGCTTTCTGTTCTTACCAGTAAATGTAGCAATGTTCTTTTTTGAAAAAAAAAAAAAAAGTCTCACATATGATGCATTTGACTGAAGCCAATGCCAACATCAGTCTTTATTTAAATCAGTGAGTTCTACATAGAAAATACTTTGGGAAAAATCCCCTTCCTTATCAATCAGAGGTCTCATTTGACCAGATGAAACTTTAGTTTGAAATTCCGCTTTCATCACTAAATGACTAACAGCGCAACTGAGTCTTGATGAATGTATGACTTCATATGAACACTGGAGAAAATACTTGTAGAGCTTACAGTCTAATGAAAAGGGAGCTAGAAGCATTGACTATATGCCTTGCTAATTTAAAGGCTCTTTGATCTTTCTGAAGCACTTTTAATTTCAGAATATTTAAGTAGCTTCAATGCTTAATATGAAAAAATTAAAATTCCTAATGCCCATTTTTATTAAAAACCATAAACCCATAAAATACAGCAATTTCCATTTCTATTTAAACATTAATGAAGTAGAAAACAAGTGCTTTACAACTTAAGAATATAGGGCGCAGTCAGGGAAACCCAACAGATAAAAGCTGTCATCAAACTCTAAGATCTAAAAGTTAATGATGGTAAAATATGGAAACAAAAGAGACTCCTAAATAGTTAAAGCAATCTTATACAACAAAAAAAACAAAACCAGCAGCCTCACGATGCCAGATTTCAAGACATACTACAGGGTAGTTATAATCAAAAGAGCCTAGTACTTGCACAAAAATGAACTGCAGACCATTGGAACAGAATAGAAACTCCAGAAATCAATCTGCACATAAACAACTAACTAATCTTTGACAAAGGAACTAAAATCAATTCCTGGATAGAGGACACATTCTTCAACAAATTTGCTGAGAAAATTGGACCTCCACATGCTGAACTATGAAATAAGAAGCTTACTTTATACCTTTTACAAAAAAAAAAAATTAATGCAAAATGGATCAAGGTTTTAAATCAATGCCTTGATAGTCATCAAATTGCCCTGGAGAACATTGGGAAACTCTGCAAGACATTAGCATAGGCAAAGACTTCTTGGAAAAGACCCAAGAAGCCAGACAATCAAAGCCAAAATAGATAAATGGGATTACATCAAGCTAGGACACTTCTGCACTGCAAAAGAAACACTCAGCAAAGTGAAGTGGCAAATGACAGAATGGGAGAAAATATTCGCAAACTATAAAACTAGTAAAGCATTGATATCCATAATCTGTAAGAGCTCAAAAAATTCAGCAACAACAAAACAAACAATCCAGTTACAAAATAGGTAAAGGATTTGAACAGGGATTTTTCAAAAGAGGAAATTCAAGTGGTCAACAGACAAATGAAAAAAATTCTCAGGATCATTAGTCTTAAGGGAAATGCAAATCAGAACCACAATGAGGTTTAACCTCACTGCAATTAGAATGGCTCTCATACAGAAATCAACAAACAATAAATTCTAGCGAATATATGGGGAAAAACATACCTTAATCCACTGTTGGTGGGAATGTAAACTAGTACAGCCATCATGGGAGACAATGTGGAGAAAGCTCAGAAAGATGAAAATAGATATATCATCTGACCCAGCCCTCCCATTCTTGGGTATTTACCCAAGGAAAATACAGTTGGCATATGAAAAAGTTATCTGTACCCTCATATTTATTGCAGCTTCCTTCACAGTATCTAAGATATGGAATCAAACCAGATGTCCATCAACAGAAGACTGGATAAAGAAATTATGGTATATACACACTGTGGAATACTGCTGAGCCACAGAAAAGAATGAAATCCTGTCTTTTACAACAAAATAGTTGCAGCTAGAAACCATTATACTTAGTGAAATAAACCAGTCACCAAAATGCAAATACCATATATTTTCCCTGATCTGTAGTTTCTAATAGAATATCAAAAATGTTGTATAGGTTTGAAATTGATATTTTGAGCTTCAATTATTGTTTTCAGCTCTGAGCAGTTTTTTTTTCCTTCTTACTATCTGTTGAACTCTTTACTTAGTATAGAATTAATCTTATGAGTATAAAGTAAACTAAAAGTTATCATAGTAAAAATTTAGAAAGGGATTAGGAGAGGAAGGAGGAGGAATTGTGGGAACAAGGGTAAGAAGGAGGGTGGGATGGGAAGTATCACTATGTTCCTAAATTTTTATACATGAAATTTGTGTACCTTCAATAAAATTAATTTTAAAAGAACTACCCTGGCAGAAAACCAGGAAAACCTCAAAATCATCATATTTTTTAGGCCTAACCTATTATGAAATAAAATTGTTAACTTCAAAAAATTAATAATAAATCTGTTTTGAATTGAGATGTCCTAAATTTCATGCTGGTGTTGGGGGGTAAGGAATCCTTCCACCTTCTAAGAAACATAGAGAATAATCGTGAAGAAGCCTCAGTCTTTATCAGCCTTAGACTACATGATAGATATACAGACCCATGTGCTAGTTTAATAGTATATAGTTCAATTTTATTTCTTTCACAATTAAGACATATTGTCAACTTGGTTTACTATCTAAGAAAGCATTGTTCTTTGTTCATGTCTGAAAATCTAATTTCTACTCAGACTTTCATATATAACAAAAATTATAAAGAACAAATGCATATATTGGGACCAGTTTTCTTTATTATATGTACTGAATTGTAATGCAGTTGTTCATGTTAGTTGTAACTAATATGATTCACAATAGCAGTAATTATATGTAAAGAAAAGTGAACCTTGCTTAAAGGGGCTGTTTTTAAAATATGCACAACACTCTCATCAAAAAAAAAAATACTCTTTCTTTACATTTGACCCAGCAACTTGCAGTGAAGCAAAAAAGTAATTCTTTCTTATAGGTGTGACTAATAAAGAACTAAACCTCAATAGTTAGGAACATGTTACACAATATAAAATGGGATAGTTTCTGCTTCTTACATATGGATTATTGAATGGTATTAAGACCCTAAAGATATTTTATAAGGCTATAGTTTGTAAAATCTTCTCAATAATTTCGTTCTCTGTACATTTTTTTTTAGTCAAGAGAATCCATCCCATTAAATGACCTGAAATCAGAAGTATCACCCAGGATTTCAGCAGAGGACCTGATTGACTTGTGTGAGCTGACGATGACCGGCCACTTCAAAACACCTGCCAAGAAAACAAAGTCTGGTAAACCAAAGCTCCTGGTGGTTGACATCCGGAACACTGAAGAGTATCCTTTACCTATGTGGCTTAAAGGGTGATGCTGCCTTATTCATTTTGCTTCCTTTCCCTTGTTTATTTTGTTTTATGACAGGCAGAGGGACAGTGAGAGAGAGAGAGAGAGAAAGGCTTCCTATGCCGGTGGTTCACCCTCCAATGGCGCTGATCCGATGGCAGGAGA